TAATTTATATTAATTGCTCTATCCATTATTATTCAGATAAAATAAGTGTCAACTCTATTCTACTTTATAATCTATAAGGAAGACTTTATTTGTTACATCATTGATACAATTTTCAGTCCAAGCTTTATGCTGTCTACTGCAGGATTTACTTGTGTGGCATTTGTCACTGGTGCACTGGCATGGTGGGCACCAACATATCTACAATTAGGTTTTCGCTTGCTTCCTAATCAGAAGGTTGTTGATTCAGATGAGTACGTTTCATAAAGTTTATTTTAGTGACATGCATTTAATAAAAATTATACAGGATATTTCATAATGTCCGTGCCAACGCTCGTGTGCGGGTAGAATGCGCGTTACACGCGGCTAGACCGTGGGCTGTACGCTCCAAGCGTGACAGCAACGAGGATCGCACAGCAACGAAAAATAACAACGCATTGCGAAAGCAAGAGTAATACGCATTGTTATTTTTCGTTGCGATCCTCGTTGCTGTCATGCCTAGAGCGTGCAGCCCATGGTCTAGCCGCGTGCAACGCGCGATTATTCGTCAATCCTTTTAAATTAATATCTCAATTATTATTGCGAGTTTACCGCAGTTACCCGCACACAAGCGTTGGCACGAACATTATAAAACACCCTGTATAATAGGAAATGAGTAATATGCCTTAAAAATGTTACATAATTGTTTTTTTAATATTTCAGTGTTGCATATAAGTTCGGATTAATTGGTATGGCATCTGGTCTAATAGGAGTACCTTTAGGGTCTTTTATAGCACAAAGATTACGAACTCGTTGGCAACAAGCTGATCCTTTAATATGCGCTATAGGTCTTCTAATAAGTGCGCCTTTATTATTCTTTGCCATAATTACTGCCAATACAAACTCCAACCTCTGTTACGTACTAATATTCTTTGGCCAAGTGTCATTAAATTTGAATTGGTCTATTGTAGCAGATATGTTATTGGTAAGTGATAAAGAAAAATATAATTGTATGTATTGATTATTTTATATCTTAATAGATTTAATATTTTTCAAATATTATATTTTGTAGTACGTAGTAATGCCTACAAGAAGATCTACAGCAGAAGCATTTCAAATACTTTTTGCACATGCTTTTGGAGATGCAGGCAGTCCTTACCTTATTGGACTTGTACGTAAAAATAATTTTATATCACAAATATTTATATCTTTGACTAATATTACAAATAATTAAATGTTATGTTTATTTCAGATATCAGAAGGATTAAAATCCACGTTTTTGCGGGGTTTAGCTACCGGAGAACAATCCAATGTTCACGACAATCAAGATATAACTGTCGAGTTTCGTAGCCTACAATATGCAATATTTCTTACAATGTTTGTAGAAATAATTGGTGCTCTGTTCTTCTTCCTGACAGCATTGCACATACAGAAAGATAAGGCACTAGTCGACCTTGCTATTGCGGGTAAGTAAAAACGTATATGACTAACATTAAGATAAAATTGACGTTTAGATAATGCACTTTGTTTTGCATGTCCACATGTCCGTTACTAATACAGCTTAATATTCTATGTATATATACTAATATGCATTGCGCAATGTGGTCATATAAAATTATTTTTATGTATGGAACACATTACTACGGATATGAATGTGATTCTCGCAAAAATAATTTTTATGTTTTGTGCTAACTTGTACACGTAAACATTATTATTAAGTAAAGTATCGAAACAGTTCAGACTAATTTAGACACATAATTTGGTGACTTTAATACATTTAATACATTGCTATTACATTGTTAAAATTTCGAAAAAAACAAAAATGGTGCATTACCTATTAATGTTATCATACGATATAATGTTATCATGTTAACAAATATGCATAATATATGTATATTACCCCAGTAGTTTAGGTCAGGTTGGAATATGAAATAAAAATTTGCAACTCTACTGAAACATTCTATTTTTACACAGTGCATGAATTGTTCGCAACTTTGGGCTTACAAGCACAAAATGGATCAAAAAGCAGGTAGTATGTAATTTATGGTATTGTTTAACACGTTAAGCGCCAAAATCTTTCATCTATTGTATATACACTTAAATGTATCGTATAAAAATATAAAATATAACAATAGATATTTCTTATGTGTATGAAATATATATGAAAAATTTTACAAGATTTGGAAACTAATTAAAACAAATATTTTTACTCATTTTTTATTATATTTATACATATTTGTTTATACATTTGATTTACTCATTTCATTTCATTTTCCTTAATTAGTGAAGTTACGAAGAATGTCGAGAGATAATATGCTTAGCAAAATCTTTTATAATTATAAAATTATAATTATAAATTTTTTTTTTTATAATTATAAAATTATTTTCATATTTTCTTATAGATTTTTTCTTTAATTTTGTATATTTTTAACATCGTGGCGCTTAACTTGTTAAAACTTAAAATTCTTTACTTATTTTTTTTCTATTATTTATAGTCATTCCTTAATTTTGGCTATGTACAGTATAGTTTTGAATCTTTATTTTATGTTCCACAAAAACTTTAAAGTAAAATAGTATATTTATTCACATTAAATCTATTTTAATATTAGAAACATATAAGTTTTATGAAAAGAAACAATATTTTCATTATGTTTTGTGATTAAAATTCCTTTATTTACAAGTATGATATTAATCTTTTAAAAAATGGTGCTTAACGTGTTAAGAAAATTAAAAATATTGATATTAATATAATTTTGGTAGTAATAATCACAATTAAATTTATAACGTACGCTGATATGACGCGCGTATACGGAATCATTATTGTATTTTCTATTAATATTTTCAATATTTTCCCAATTTTGACATTTTTAATTTTTAACATTCTGTTTTATATATAAAACACTTATATTTAAAAATTATGTATACATTTGTCTATTATATTTGTCTGTTATAACTGTAATATCTATCTTTTTACAACTGTGAAGTATATTTTTTGGGGGATATTTTAATTTACTTTTGTATAATTTTATGTACATATATGTGATGTATCATATACATTGTTTATGTGGAGTTAGAAAATTTTGTGTGTTTTATATATATTTTTTAGTACAAAATATATATGAAATATTCTTTAATTTTCACAAGATGAGAAAAATACGTATAAGAATTATTCTTTCTGCAAATATGTTAACATTATTTGTTATAATTTTTATAATATAAGTTACAATATATTTATATTTCGAAATTTCTCAATAAGTATTAGATTTATATGAAATAATTTGGTGATTTTTACCATTTTTGTTATTTTACGTTTTATTATTAAACTTTTAAACATTTTTCAGAAGCAGGCTTTATTGTAGGTAATATGTGGAGTACTTCACATGATCTAGTTCGGAATGTGCATGTAGTAATTTTTGTATAACATATAAACATCTTTCTTGCAGACAAATATCTAGATACTAAGAATAATGGGCAAGCTGAATCAACGCATTTATAGATCATCACTGGGCCTCACCTGATAGTGTGCTGTATACCCGGTACATAATTTATTTTCATGATTTCATTATCCTTTTCTTTATTTGATTTGGTAGTCAATTTAATCGAGAATTTTGTTTTTTATAAATAAAATTATTTTCTATTATATTTTATTATAAAATTTTGAAGAAAGCTTGGCATATACATATATATTCTTTCTTTAAAAAGGCATGTTACCGATGTGTCTCGAATTTTTACATTTTAACATTCTAGACTATTTCTTTCTTTAAAATATAAGGATTTTAGTGCATCACAGTAAAGTTTCAGGCCTGCCAAATGATATGATATAAGATTCTAAGGCATAAAAATGTATAAAACATACATTTTAACATTAATGTACATTTTATTCATTTTTATATTTTAGAATCTTATATCATTCGGCAGGCCTAGAACTTTACTGCGATGCATTGACGTTGAATACATATAATACAGTACATTTGAATTATCTTTACACATATTATATTTTTATAAAAAATTGCGTGATTTTATATAATTAAATAATTAAATTGATTATCAATTATCCATGCTATTGTTTTACATTGGGTCTTACAAATCATTATTTTTTTCAATTTCTTTAATTATTTTGATATCAAATTTTCACGAATAACAGACTAAATTCTTTTTTAAAATTCTTATTTTTATTTTTTTTCTCTACTTGCAATTCATTTAGGAATGCATTTTAAATTTAGGAATATTAACCTTTTTTTGCTTTTGTCTTATCTTATGTTTGGCCTGTGGATGTCATAAATGGGAGAAATAGCACGTTATAGATCATTTTAAAGTTTATCACTATTATTTGTACATTTACCTTTAACAATCATAGAACAATTAATATAAAACAATTAAATTATCTTAAAAAATTGCAATAAAATATAAATAGATTATAACACTCGACGTTTCAATATATCAATTTAATATTCTAACAATTAAAATTAACACTTCAAATATTGAAGCTTATTTTATAAATATTTTTGCGCAGGATGATGAGATTTGTATCGTGCAAATATTTGTGATTAAATTTATTATTGACATAATATGGTATCACATTCTTCAGACACTGATGAAGCTTGCCTACAGAAGCTTTCTGTGTGGGATGTAACACAATTAACTAGTAGATTTCAGTGTACTTTATGTGTACTTGTGGATGTATGTTTTACAGATATGGTTGGTAGTGTTGCATGTATATTTTTAGAGAATTAGATTTCACATTGAGTGATGAGCACACGATTTGTTTTATTAATATAATCATATTACATGATTTGTTTTCTTACAATAATTATGTAATCTTAAAATAGTTATGACTAACAATCTTATTGCATTCGTTCATACGTTTTGCTCTGGAAAACTATCAATATAATAATTATATTGATAGAAAACTAAATAGATGAAATCTTAGAATGCATTCTGTACTCTTGTTGGTGATGTAGAAAATTGTAATTGTTGCTACAATATTTTTATCATAAGATGACTTTTGGAATTATACGAAATGCTTTATTCATTAAATATTGTTTACGTATCTATGGTCTTTTAATGTGTGTGTATGTATTGATGACGTATGTACTCTCTACTATTTTACTCTATTCTCTTCTCTTTATAAATCCTATGTGTCATTATATAGGAACAAGGATCTTCTTCTCATATTTTACTTTAATTGCTTAGATATTTCTTATATTTCTTGGGGTAATATACTTGATACGGAAATTAACTTAATGAAGAACAATGTTTTTTACTGAAGAATAATGCGATCTTAATAATATGTATATATATTTATATCTATATGATAAATATTGCTCTATATTTATATATTTATAAATTTTAATCTACTGTTTACGTGCTAATTTATCTGTCTGACTCTGCATACGTGAATAATATGCGCTAATAATATATATTAATAAATTATTATCTTAATGATTTACATTATTTTCAGGTGACAGTATTTCAGACACAGTATGTATTTGCAACGACGCAGTTGAAAGCGAAATACAAAATGATACAAATACTATATTAGAATTTAATAGGCATCAAGTGGAACCGTCTCACTAGAATCCTGATAAAATTTAGATATTCTATTGCTATTGATGTACAGTATGATTCTACTAAGTAGATATTGATTTGAGTTTATGATAAAATAAGATGTGTCATTGACACGAGATTATATGTTCTGCATGTAGAACGTATATTTACGAAGAAAGTTTGCAGGAAATTATAATGTAGATTATTATCAGAAAGGTAATTTTTTTAAATTACCACTGTTAATAGTGTACAAAATGTTAAAATAATTGCAAACCATGAAGCTCATACAGCATGGATAAAGTCATACATATACAATATATACGTACAATATTTTTAAATATTATATTTTTATAATTGCTCGATTGCAAATTCATATAGCAAATTGTACGAATTATCTATATAGGTAAAGGTGTACTAATAAGTAATTTTTTCATAAGACACACAAGTATTTTCTAATTAAATTGTCAGTAATATTCATATTACTTCGGTATTAAATTGCAAAAATATTAACAATTGTATTGTATTCTCTTAAGAGAGAAAAATATTTTCATAAATTGCTATGATATTAGTTTAATTTTTTTTACGTAAAAATTCTAGTGAAAAATATATTACTACTAAGTTTGACACGTTAGCTAAGTCAATGATATATGTAGATATATTTAAATAATTATTTATATACAGAGTGTTCCACACAAACCGCGTCTCATGATAATGACACATCTTAATTGTGCTAAAAAATATATTATAATATTCGGAGCAACTTGAGTTGATTAATTTGAAATTTTTTTCATTTAAAAATTATTGTAGCCATTTTGGCATTAGAATTTTCATCTCAAAATGATCTCAAGAATGTGTCGTATGGTGCGATTAATGTAGAATACCCTGTATATATAAGTACGCATATAACTGCGCATATAACTTATAATTTTCTCTTGGAATATTAGAATATTTTTTAACATTTTTCATAAATAATATTTTATATGTATTACAATAGCAATAATGTGAAATAACTTTAAAAATGAGTTTAAATTATAATTATTATTATAGATTATCTTAAAGCTTGTGTTTTTTTTTTCAGAGATGACTCTAAATATATACTATTTCTATATGTGTCAAAATTATGAAGCCTCTTCAAATATTTATTATAGATTATTTATATTATTTATATTATTTATAATCGTATATTCACTCTGCGCGCCTATTCTGTGAATTCAAAATACATCTATCGAGCAGAAATTTAATATTATTATATAAAATGCACTTTAGAACAATGTTGAAAATTTAAATAGGATCTATCTAAAATGTGTACGTTATTGCATAACTGTATGTTCAGACTTGTATATACATGAAAAGAAAGTAAGCATAAAATTAATACAGAGTAAATTATTGTCAGTAAAGGCAAAACTATTAAGTCTATATATGAAACTGATTAACTTTAAATTTAAAAAGTAAAAAATTTTCCATTTGAAATTGAAAGCAGTTAAGAAGATATAATTATTACAAACTGATATAGTCAAATTTTCAATAACACTCAGCTAAGTCAAACATATGTAGCAGTAATTTAACCAAATGCTTAGTTTAGCGCAGTACTTATACGTAAATGAGTAAACTGAAATTACAGATTATAAAATTAATCTTTGAATTTGATGATGCTTTAGTTATAAGAAAGCTACTGTATATTGCATTATATATTATGCAAATAAATCTTTTTGTATATAAATAAGTGCAATAATATGTTTTTTATTTAGATATAATCTTTACCGATATCATAGAATCGAAAATAATGAACTGTGACATCACGCACACATCTAAGGGGATCATTAATACCTTTTTAAATTTTCTTTGCATAATTTTCATACAATCATTTATGTTTCGTCTTATTTAAATCAGTGTTGATCTGCAGATTAATGTTAATCGATATATTTGCTTAATTTTGTGATTATTGTACAGTCTTAAGTTTTTTTTTTATTAGATCACCCTGTATATGCACGGAGAAAATTTTATATTAAAATTTACTATGATACGCGGCAGTAGCTGCGGACCATAAGAGGAATTATAAGTTTAAATATTGTGGCCATTATATGAAAAATATAGTAAAATTTTTTATAATTTTTTCATGGTCCGCGGCCGTGTTCATAGTAATTTTACTGCCGTACATAGTAATTTTTTATATAAAATTTTCTCCGTGTGCAGCATACGTTACAGCATCGTGTAGCACGTATCTCATAGCCCGCAGTTGCGTCATAAATAAACGGATAAAGCCTGTATTTTTAATGGGAAGTCGAAGATGTGCTGAATAGAATGAGCTATCGGAGAGGGAAGCGACACTCGGTTTCTTTGATCAATAATGAAACTTCTCTTCGCCTTCCACACTGTCTCTCCATCTTCTTTTCTCTCTTGTTGTGCCTGCTCTTTTTCCACTGGTCTCTCATTCGATCCCCCGCTTTCTTACCCCCCTGCGCACTTTTACGCATCTCTCGCTCGCTCGTTCCGACATTGAGACTGCCTTACCACTGTCTTATACATTTTTAACCCTTATTTCGGTCCCCGCATAGACGAGGAGGAAGTCTCAAAGCGGGAGCCAAGTTTTAACAACCCTTAAGGTTGTACCCCCACGACCATCCTCTTTCTTCTAGATAATCCACTCGGCGATCCATTCGCGCGTAAGCCTCTATGCAAAAGGACTTGGTAGCCCGCATTCTTCAAAGAGCGGCCTCGAATGCACCAGGAATTTCAATCTCCCGTTAAAGACTTCTCTGAAAGTCAATAAAATTATTAAGATCACATTTGGTACAGAGTCCTGTGAAGGAATCTATTAAAAAAATTGTTTAGGTATAAATATCTTCAAAAATTTTTAATTGATTTTATTTAGAAAACATTTTTGACATTGATGTTGGCAGAATGTTACTTGATACAACTTTCCAGTTTTTAAATACTTTTGCAATTAAAATTTAAATTGATTAATTTAATAGCAAATTAAAAAATTGTGTTTTTGCACATTTGCTTTAGCAATTTTATTTGATTTTGTATATTACGATTGCTTAAAAATTGAATAAAGAGAGTGTCGACAAATCTGCTGACACTTTTATCGAAAAAGAATGAAGGAAAAAAGCGCGACAAATCAATCACAAATTAATAGAGAATAATATAAATAATTTGTGCGCATATGCGTATATAATAATTTACATTGCACTACGTCAATATAAAGAAAAAAGACAAAGTATCGATATCGAAACGACTTCTCCATTTTTTTAGACGGTCGCTCATGACGAGCGAGGCTATCGGGTAAGATCGACTTTTTGTCGTCCCTCCGCAGTTTTTCCATACACCCTCGTGTCCAATGACGGGCACAGTGGAACATGAAGCAACTCCGAGAGGGAGAACACCCGGGGTGAGGCTGGCACAAAGAAAATCGCGGGGGCGAGGGGATGAGGTGAGGGCGGCCGCGGTGCGGGATAATACTTAACAAGCCGACTTGAAAGGGCCGCCATTTTGAGTCAATACTTGAAAGTCTTTGCTCATTAAGAATATTTTACGTCTACCTACGCGAACAACGTTGCCGCTGCTTCCCTATAACCGGCGCCATCACCGCGCTCTTCCCGCCCGCCTCCTCCGCGCTCGAGCTTTCTTTTTCTCCTCATCCTCCCTTGCCCTCGGCGCTTCGAGAGTCGCTCCCGCCCTCCTTTTCCTCATCTTCCTCCTTCGCCTCCTGCAAGGGCGGCTGCACCCTCGAAGATGGAAGTTATTTACGCGGCATTCGGAACACGCTCCACCGTCGCGACCCCGTAGCCGACCCTCTCACCCCCGGCGTTTCGATCTGGTCTCCCCTTTGCCACGCTAACACGGTGCCCCCGCCTCATCGCCCTCGCCCTCGCTCTCATCGGGCACGCAGCAGCCACTGGGCAAGGGAGGGTGGCCAACGCCAACCCCGCGCTTCTCCATGAGAGATGGAGAAATCTCCGACTTCGCCATGGGGCCCGGCCTCGCGCGCCCTTCCAGCTACGGCGGATAAACACCGTCCCATCTCACGGCGTTTTTCCTAATTCCTACCCAATTTCGCTTTTAGCATTTCAATTTCTACCTTCCCTCCTTCTCTTCCCCCTATTCCTGCCCGCTCGCCGCGTCAGGATGACGGATTATCGTTAGACGAGCGAGAGCTCGACGGGGAAGAATTCCGTGGGTGGAATAGACGAGCGAGAATGACGGATAGCTGCACACGATGGATGGATGGATAGATGGATAGATGGATATCGTGTTTATCACGAATCTAGAACAAGTCACTTATCTACATAACGTAGCGGGAGCATTCATTTTGTTTATTTAAACACGCACCGTTGTACAAATGTGTATGATCTAATCAACGTTGTACATTTAACAATGAATTGCGCGATAAAATAATTTCTTCTTTCTCAAAAAAATTAAATAACGAGAAGTAAACATACAGAAAATAGTAAACAAATGTAAGATTATTAATATTTCGTTAATAAGCAATTTGTTTCGTTACTTTCAACAGCTATGATCTTTCGTAAACGATCATCGTTCTTTATTGCACATAAATCTCGTTGCGTTTCATATTCATACGTGTCAAATAATTCACCGTGTCCAGAATGAAATAATTTCCTCGTCACAAAACGTTTCCGGTGGTTACGGGCAATGATTCATATTACGAAACCGTGACTTGCGCGGAGCGCTTTTTAAATCGCTATGAAATGTTTTTTTCGATTTTGCCTTGCCGCGAGATCACGTCGGAAAAACAATGGAACGCGATGTTCCCGCGCATGAGGACCGGGTTAGAACGGAGGGAAGACAGGGGGAGAGCAAAGGGGTGGCTGCGAAAATAAATCAGACGCGTACCGACGCGGCGACGTTTCTCGTTCAATTGTATCAACTTTAACCCCTTCATTGTCTCATTTTTTTCTCGGCCATCGTTCTGCTCTCGCGCCGTTTGACCGGATTCGTCCGACCCTCTTCTGCGCTTCTTTCTCCGTAACGCTCGCAGTGAATCGGGCTCCAAGTTTGCCCGTGCGAACAATCGTGCGTGCACAAATGGAACGTTCGAAAGCGCATATAATAAGCCGTAAAGAGACAGAGAGAAGAAAGAGCGTGCGAAAGGGAGAAAGAAGGACAGGAAGGTAGAATGAAACAAAAACTGGTCTCGCTGTATAAAACAATAGGGGGTTCCTTCAACGGGGGATGTGAGAACGAGCGGAAGATCGCGAGAGAGAAAGAGGGAGAGAGGATGCAAAACGAGAGGAGAGGAGCGGAGAGTAGCAGCAACCCCATCGCGCGCGCCGCGACGTGTGTGAAATTCAAGAACCTGTAGCGCCAAGAAGAACAAACGCGCCGGTGCCAGCTGTGCGGTGCATACGTTATTAGTGAGCAAGTTCTGTCCTTCTTAAACCGAGTTGCACCGGCAGTCGTCCGGGCTAACTAATTTCGAGTTAGCAACTGGTTATTCCGACGAATATATGCGAGACTATCGAGCC